CTCTGCTGGTTTAGAGATTCTTGTCCTTCATTCCTGAGCAGTGAAGAGGAAGAAACAAAACAGCTGTTCTAGTTGGCTACCCAAGGCCCTGGGACCAGGATTCAGGAAGTGTTTTGGAACATCAGTGAGCTGGATTTGAAGCAAGGAGATGAGGCCACCTGTTAAAAAGCACTTTTGAAAGTAGCCAGATTCCTGCCCCGAAGAGTTTCTTTTCTTCGCTAAGTCTCCGTAATGGCCCTTTCTATTTCATTTTCTGTTGAAGCTTGTGGTCTGGCCAGTGTTGGTCTTTCTCTGGCTGCCTGTTGCACAAATCCACCGTATCAGTGGTTTCTTCTGTTTTCCAGCCCTTGAAGCATTCCCAGATTATTGAAGTTTTCTCAAGGCTCCATCCTGTTTGTTTTAGTTTACAATTCTTTTAGTGTTAGAAAACTCTAAAACAAAGCTCCATCCTGTGCCACCATGGGAACCATACCCTGCTATATTGACATATAATCCCCAAAGTGAAGGGTAAGCAGAGTCTTGAGAAGTAATGTGAGGGCTGGAAGGGTAAGGATAGAAGCCAGCAAGCCCAGTGTATGGAGTAAAGATGTAGTTACCTACCCGTCTTTCCTCCTTCTGCTGGCCAGCACCATTTTTCCTGCTATGTTCCCCACCCTGAAAGGCTTGGAGTAGAGTGAGAAGCCTCTGGGGGTGATGGTGCTTTTGCTGGAAGAGAAGAGGAGGGAAAGAAAACGAAGGGAACCAGTTACGGGCAACTGGCAGAGAAGAAAGAAAACCAAAGAAGAGCAGGAACGTCCAGTGGTTGCCATAGGCTTCTTTTGGCCGATCGTTATCGTCGGCTCTAGCACTGCCTGCTATTTATATGAAGCCTTTCATTTTGTTAGTCTTACATACTGGTTATACAGAAAGGAGTCATTCTTGACACTTTATTCCAGATTTTAATTTGTTCACTGGTCATGATTAAGTTTCTGCTTTTCTTTATACTGACAAACGCATATTTGTTATTTCTTTTCTCTTTTCCTAGAAGCGTGTAAGTAAGATTATGTGCAAAGAACACTGTCGTGATGGACTGATGTTACTGTTCTTGCATTCTTATAAACTGAGGTCCAGCGGGGGGCAGGGACTGTGGAGCTGCTCTTTGTAGTAATTTAAAAGCATGCAGTTTAACGGCTGCAGCTTTCTGTCACACCAATAGCCAGTCGGCATTCATAATATGACTGATATTCTGGTGCCAATCCCCATCTTTGTGAGGGAAGCACATCCTATTTGAAAGAAAAGTAAAATTTATCTTTTCATGGCTTCTTATTTATTATTTTCACAATCAAAAGAAAACAAAAGTGTGACATTTGTAGGTGTCCTGGTCATAATAGAGAAGTTGATTCCTAAGAGGCCCACTTGATGTGCACAGCAAGGATTAGGTCAGCAGTTAAGAAGCCGAGGTTTTCAGCAAACCAAGCAATTTCCCCTACATTACCTGACAAGGTCCTCATGTAAGGCTGAACGGGCTGCATTCTACCTTATGTTTAACCAGAATACACCCCTTTACCCTTACAACGTGGCATGCCAGATTGCAGCACCTCTCTTTGTTGTTGCTCAAAACCAAAATAGATTTGATTGCATAATAATCTAAAAAGAGAAAGCAAAAGTAGATGTTATGAGAAAAACCATTCTTTCCTAAATCTGTGTACGTTTTTTGGTCCAAAAACAAAGCAGAAGGAAAGGGAACAAAGAAAAACACCTGGAGAATGGTTGTAAATGCTAGAGCCACCACCAATTATAGCGATATGCAAACTCTGATATAGAGTAGCAAGTATCTTTAGGTTAGCTAGCTTTCATGATCTAAGGTCATCAAAGGATACCAGAGGGATAGAATAGAATGAAATAAAGAAGAGAAACATCTTGTCCTACAACTGAATCTGAAAATGTAAATAAAGCTCAGGGAAAGTCTGTTCCAAGTCAGTTTTCTTCTTTTTATTTATACATATTTTATAGGAGTGGATGTATTACCCTTCCTTTTATTCTAGTACTTTATTTTTTTTTTACTATTATTATTTTTAATCTAAGTCTTCTGAGAGACACCATTTTTTCTGAACTTGGTAAAGTCTAGATTTGCTTACACCTTGGGCATGACTTAGATCTGCATGCATCAGGTTAACTAGTTAAGCTTGTTCCCTTTATGAGCAAGAACCCTGAAAAATTCTAGATGGCAGGACAGAATCAATGGTACCATTTGTGGCTCTGTGCCTTAGTAAACAATATAAAATGAATTCACCTTCAGAGGACTGAACAGTGACTTTATTAGCATAATTTAGCCCTGGTGGCGCAGTGGTGAAGTGATACCGCTGCTAACCGAAAGATCGGCAGTTCAAATCCAACAGCTGCTCCTTGGAAACCCTATGGGGCAGCTCTACTCTGTCCTATAGGGTTGCTATGAGTTGGAATCAACTCTACGGCAATGGGCTTTTTTTTTTTTTTTTTTTTTTAAAAAAAAGAAGGATATCCTATTTAACACAGAAACCCCGGTGACGTAGTTGTTAAGAACTACGGCTGCTAACCAAAAGGTTGACCGGTTCGAATCCACCAGTTGCTCCTTGGAAACCCTATGAGGCAGTTCTGCTCTGTACTGTAGGGTTGCTATGTGTCAGAGTCGACTCGACAGCAATGGATTTTTTTTTTTTTTTTTTTGGTATTTAACACATTTAAAAAATGGGGGTTAAGTCTGAGCCTGTTTTATTTTGTTGGGGTGTTTTTTCTTTTCTTTTTTTTCTGTTAGACCTTTTATGCAGTACTTTTACCAAAACATCTTACTGCAACTGTACTACTCACAACTCTATTTGCCAATCTTTTGATTAAAGAAATTAAATAGTGCCATAGTAATTGACAAACCATCTTGGCACTTGACTCTCCTCTAAATTTCCTGATTTTATTAATTTACTTTATAAATTAAATAATATTAGTAAAAATAAATATCTTAAATATATATATATATAGTTTTCAAAGGCAGTTACTATAAAACCAAAGTATATCTTAAACATTAATACTACCTATATCTTTATATGATTTCCAGTATAAAGCAGTAAAGAAAAACTTTTAAGATTTGTGTTTATGTCATGTCTAAAGTGACCACTGAAAAGTAAAAATTCTGTCTAATTCTTTAAAACAAAAACAAAATCGGCACCACATACCAAATATTTAATCCATTTGTTCATTGTTTCTTTTAAAATAAACTCTGGCGAACCAAGTATCTTGCAAAGATGTTATTGCCCCCATCTATCCGTTAGCTATTTTCTGTTATATGTCGATATAAATTAGTGTGTCTGTGTTGATATTTCAGTTTCCAAGTAACATATTTTAGACAAAATTGATGGTTTTTAATTAATTAGTAGCTTTAATTATTAAAAAGGTATCTGTTGAGCCTAATGAACTGGTGCATTTATAGTTGTTTTTGCTCTCCAGTTTCTGAACTTACTGTTCTTTTGCTCTTTATAAACACTTGATTAAATGACCACTTTAAGAAGTACAGTTAATTAATTAAAATATAAATGTAAGACTAGAAATGCCAGCATGGACATACTTTTGAAAATTTTTTTGATGAGTACTGAAATCTTTCCCTTGCCCCTTTCATTTCTAATCTGGCTCTCAGGTTTTGTGTCTCAAATATTACTTGAGTTACTAAGCAGGTACTAATGTTATACCTGGAAACTCTGGTGGCATAGTGGTTAAGAGCTACAGCTGCTAACCAAAAGGATGGCAGTTCAAATCCACCAGGCATCCCTTGGAAATTCTGTGGGGCAGTTCTACTGTGTCCTATAGGGTCATTATGAGTTGGAATAGACTGGATGGCAACGGGTTTGGTTTAGTATTATAGCTAAAGGAGCCCTGGTGGTGCAGTGGTTAAACGCTCGGCTGCTAACCGAAAGGTCGGCAATTCAAGGCCACCAGCCACTCCATGGGAGAAAGATGAGGCAGTCTGCTTCCATAAAGATTACAGCCTAGGAAATCCCATGAGACTGTTCTACTTTGTCCTGTAGGGTCGGCATGAGTAGGAATCGACTTGACGGTAACGTATTAATATTATAGCTTACCATGCGTTTACACACCCACACACACATATACACGTATGTATATATACTTTATAAGTGTATGCAAATATACTTAAACAAATATCTTAAATGTTACCTAAATATATGGAATAGAGATTTTGCTAAATACTGGCATTGAACTACAGTAATGTTTCATGCTAGACAAGTACAAAGTGAATAAATCATGACAAACTTTGCCTAATGGGCGGTTCCCAAATGGACTTCCTTTGCAATGATGGCTTTTTCTACGTAACATTTTTTGAAGTTAGCATTGTAGTAAATTTCAATAACCTGTCATCATTTCCAATAAAATATGAACACTCTACAAATAAATAAAATACTTTGTAGATTTTAGTGGCATACATTTATGCTGTGCTGCTTTGAGGAAAGCAGTTGAGGTGTTAGAAATAGTGAAAGGCCACAGTGGTACATGGGTGACATGTTTGGTAGACCCAGAGTTATCTTCAGCTGAAATTTTGTGTCTATTTTAAATGGCCTTTTTTTTTTTTTTTAAATCCAAGTCCAAATTAGAATACAGAACTAAAACTTTATAGAATTGTAAATAAATAAACAAATAAATACAGTAGCTTTAAAAATAAGTTACTAGAAAGACCACACCAACATCATGTAAGAAGAAGAAAGTCTGCTTTACGTATGGCTGTGAAAGGCTTTTTAAAAACTCTTCACCCAGGACACACCAGTATTTCTGAAATTTTGTCTCATACCCTGTAAATGCTGCCAATGGGAGGGAACTTGCTTCCCTGTGATTTTGTTTTCCCCTATGAATGATAGCGATGGAGCACTTGCATGATGTGTTTGGTGCCTTGCATGAAGAAGACATGCAAAGGCAAGGTCCAGTCTGCATGCTGCTTAATGAATGTTTTTCCTTTTCTCTCCCTCCTTGTCATGTGCTTTCAGAAGACAACAATGTGGAAGGTGGGTGTTTTCTACCTTATTTTCCAACTCTCATTTGCCTTTTTTTCCTTAGTATTATTAATAGAGTACATCTCAAATTACGACGGTAAGTTGAACTTCTTTTGACATTTGTTGATTTTTGGATTGTGTATCACTTTTCATATAGAACACACGCCCTCTCAATCCCGACAACACCAGGTGTAGGAAGTGCCTTCAACCTTAATACCAAACCTTGACAAATTTCAGCATCTCACAGGAAACTTAGAACTCTTACTGCAGTGTTGTCTATGGAAAAGTGATACAATGCTGCTGCTTTTATTTTAAATGAGAAATTATTTCTCTGCAGTTTCAGATCACAGTGCATGATCCTTTCTTCATTTTTTGTTTTTTGATCTTTTCTGTTGGAAACGTTAGCATTATACCATTTCAAGCCCATTAGCTTAGTTTCAGATGATTTGATTTATGAAAAGAACACAGAAAAAAATAATGACTATAAGTAAAAAACATAAAATTAGACTAATAAATAAGCCATTGGCCATTGGAAATGAAAGCCTACAGCATGTGGACATGGTTACTGGTAAGTAGATTTGTAATATTCTCTATCATGTTAAATAAAACCATAGTATTTAATTCAAGTTTTTCTAAAATTATCTCTGTCAGGGAATTTTGATAAAGTTATATACTTTTTCCTATAGAATCTAACACACTAAAAATGTATTTCAACATTCTTATTTTTAAAGCACTTATATGCATTAGTCAATGTGCTGCCAGCTAAATCTTTAAAGGATAAGAATGCAAAAAGAAGTAGGCGTGGCAAAGAACTACTTCAAAGAGTAGTGATGTTCTATCAGCTTATATAATCATAGCATTAAGAGTTGTTGCATAAACAATTTGCTAATATTTATATGTCAGAGGAAGGCATTTAACAGATTTTATTCTGCTGCAATATTTTGAAGTACAGCCATTCTGTAAAAATATGTATATACCCACTCCTCACTTATCAACATGGTTAGGTCCCAAAGACCAGGTTTTTATGCAAAAATTGACATTATGCAAAAATGGAGGATGACCACATCAGATCACACAATGGAGGATGACTACATCATTACATAGCTGCCAAACCATTGAGAATCATGGCCGAGCCAAGTTGACACATAACCTTAGCCATCGGCCAGTGTTACTCTTGCCTGGCACCTCAGTGTTCGTTACTACCAGACATACATTGTTAATGCACAAAACAGTCGAATAGTAGATTTTTTACTATTGTCATAAATTCGAAATGCTGGATAATGAGATAGTCAATAAGTGAGGCATAGGTGTAATTCTACAGAACAGAAGATTTCTTAACAAAATCCTTATCCAAGGTTACAGATAAATAATCCTTACAGTTGCCAAGATTTTATATCCCCCAAAAAAGAATCCTCAGTGGTAATACAGAACCAATCAGTAGCGGGTTCAGCATCATATCTGTGATTCTTTCACAGGCAATATTATAATTGCTTAGCTGTGGAACATTTCTGTTCTATTATTTAAGTAAAACAGATGAAAACTTCAGAAGAAGTCATAACTGACAATTTTTCCAGGTGTGTGCTCCATATATGGGTTCTGTTTTTCTCTACTATAATTATAAAAATAAAAATCTACTTCTTTGCATTTCCTTAACCAGTCTGTAAAACATTCCATATTTTTTGTTCTTTTCTTTTTAAATATGATTGCATTCCAAGGGGCTTTAAAACCAGCCTAATAAACATGAATGCTTCTCTCTTCTCTCACAAACACTTGTCCTACGCAAATGTTTGATATATTTTCAGAGTATAAGCCCATACATTATTATAGTACAGTTTATTCAATCATAATTTTAACATTCTTATTTATAACGTGGCTCTGACCACATAATGGAGCCCCCTTAGTGGAGAAAGTCTAACAGGAATGGGAATGCTTTTAATATTTAACATTATCATCCTCATTAATGTGGTGTTAAAAACCATTAAAACAAACTCGTTGCCATTGAGTTGATTCCAACTCATGGCGATCCCATGTGTGTCAGAGTATAACTACACTCCGTAGGCTTTTCAATGGCTGTGATCTTTCAGAAGTAGATCTTCAGGCCTTTCTTCTGAGGCATCTTTGGGTGGTTTCAAACCACCAAACTGTTGGTTGGTAGATGAGTGCTTATATATTTTCTAAAAGTTAATCTTATATAGAGCTAATTCCCTGATTTAGTCTACTAACAAGTTATAAACTGTTGTTAGGAAATATGTATAATAGTTTTAAAAAGGAAAGTAAAGAAAAATTGTATAACCTGAACAACAAAAACACTTTGCCTCAGCATATAAAACATCATCAATCATCAACAGGTCATTCATAAACTTTTTAATCTCCCTATGTATTTTGTTGTTGTTGTTGTTAAAATTACTCAGAAAATACAAAGAGATGCTACATTATGGAAAACATTAAAATATTATGTTACATAATCTTATGTTATATTGTGATTATGTGATGTTTAGTAAACATATCTGCCTCACAGGAACGTTTGAGTAACCCTAAAATTTTAAGGTGATAACAGATTATTTCAATATGGATACAACTGATGTATAATGTTATGTGGCTCAAAATAAATGTATTTGAAATAACACTGGAAAATGAAAATACAAATTTTATTAAAATCGATATGTGTATACTATAGTTCTCTAATCTTTTCCCATATTTCAAAATATATGTAGATTGAGAAATAGATTTATTTCTAAATTTAGAATAAAGAACTAGAAATCCTGCCTTTCAGTAAAAAATAGCTTCTTGGACAGCAAAAGAACTTTTGAAAAGAACATTAGCAGTGTTGTTCAGAAAAGAAGTTATCTTCATTGTGAAGTTAATTGCCAAGCAAGAGATAATAGATGATTTAAATAAACAAAGGGAATTTAATTTTCTTCTCGAAAACTTCCTTAATGAAATCATATCTGAAATATATTCCTCTAATATGTACAATTACTTACACTAACTCATAGTTCAACATGTGAGTAATGTTTAAATAAAATGCTAAATAATTTTGTTCTCCACGGAAAATCACTTGAGCCTAGTTAAAACTGATCCATTGTTTCTTAAAAATTCTGTAGTAAATTACTCAGTAGTAAATTCTAACTATACAACTGCATGTCTAATGATTTTTTTTTGCCTATTCTATTGCTGCATGTGTCAGGCAAGGAGACATTTCTGCATTATCATTTCAGTGTGACTAAGGATTTTTTTTTTAATTACTATTATTTAAGTATGAAACTGCTTATTTTCTGAGGAGGGGAAAAAGATCAGACCCAGCCCATGTTTCAGGTATTCCTTTGGGTTTTTAAAAATGTGATTTTACCACTGAAGAATGACTAGCCCTGTAGGGGCAGAGTGAAAAAAAAAAAAAAAAAAGTCTTATCAAAGGGCATGAAGGGCAGATGCCATATTTAAGGGATTGGTTGAATTTTAAGTCATGCTCTTAAGCTCTTGATCCTGCTGACTAATACATAGAAGAAATACACAGTGCAGCACATCCCAGTGTTCAAATCGCAGTTCTGTAACTCTTTGCCCCAAAACATTCCAACCAGGGGTTCAAAGAATGCTTTTTGATTTGCCTCCGTGATACAGACATGTCTCATAGGAAACAAGATGTCTGTCACTGAACATTTTTGTCATCGTGACAATCCTGCCTTCCCCTGCTCCCTTGTTTATTGCTGACTGTGCTCTTGTTTCCCTTCAAGGTCTGGCGCATCTGATGATGGGCGACCCAGGTATGGGCTCTGTTCCTTTTCCACTCTGCTTTCAGTGTTCTCTTGTTCTGTAGCTGCTTTCCAACCATCACTGCAAGGGATGGGCGAATGCTTGCAAATCACCTGGCTGCAAATTAAATACATAATTTTCGTTCACTTTTTTTGTTCATGTGCTTTTCTCCCCTTGATTTGTTGGTTTGATTTTGGTTTGCTCCTTCAACTTTTATGTTCCTTCATTCCTTGCGCTATAATATTTGCAAATAAATGAGACATAAGAAATGGTGAATGAAAATGTCCATACATTTATCAGCCTATGCAGTTAAGGGTGGTTAGAGGAAAGAAAAACTTGAGCCATCAGAAGTTAATATCTGAAAGAAGATTCTCAGTTTAACCTACTGTATCAACAAGAGTCCATTTCTCATCCATGCATGGTGGTTTGGGAACATGCAGACATCACTGGCTTCCGGCTTCTAGAATGCTGAGTGTAGTGTTCCACGGAATCAGTACTTTTTCTACCTTCAGTCATTGTGTTTCTCCCTTTTGTATTATCTTTCCAAGTGAGCATGGGCCTTCCAGTTTCCTTGCATGTACTTCCCTTTAAAAAGGCAGAATTCTCAACCTGAACTGATTGCATCTCCATTTGTCTTCAAATCCCTATTTATACTTCCTTCTCTTGTTTAATTTTCAGATAGTCGTGCATTTACATGTATTCATAATTCTTACTGTTGTTTCTCTCCTCTCTATTTTCGTTCTCTGGAAATCCTTTCTTCATGGAACCATTTCATCAAATCCATAGGTAAAAGTAAAGGTATTACATTATTTTACTTCTTAATACCATCTGTATAAATTACAATGTGCCTAAGTAATGCAAATATATTTAGACATTTTGGCACTGGTAATGGGCACTGGGAGGTAGGTATGTGTGTTAATGAATATTTTATGTATTTAAGGTAAGAAAAATCCATCAAAATGTTTCACTCCTTTTTTGCTCTTTAGAGTGAGTTTTTAATGTGAGCTGCTTGCCTAAGTAGTATATTTAGAACTCAGCTACAGGTTTGGGTGTCAGTTTTTGCAGGATCAGTTAATAGCAGTTAAATGATGAGTGTAGTCACTATAACCATATCATCCTTGAACGTTCAGCCCTGGAACACACCTGCCCCAGCACTGAGATGTAGGTGTCAGAATGTGTAGCATTGAAATGGCCCTGCTGTGGGTTTGTCATCTGTTGTCTGCTCAGTGTTGTACATACACGTTAGCTCCATGATAACCTGAAAAGGCAATTTGGTGTAGGAGCTGGGAAAGCCCGTTCTCTCTTTTGTGCTCACTAACTTTGCTTTAAGAACATTACCAACCAGGTATACATTCCTGCACCGCTTGGTAAGTCAGGCATGCGTACTCCTTGACGGCTTTGGTACAAATTGAGAAGCATGTTTAATTTGTCATTCAAAACCATCCACAGTGAAAATGCAGTTGTGTTTAGTGTTTTGATTGAAAGAAAGTAGACAGTGTGCAGCTGTGATATTATATAGGATAGCCTTTATGTTAACAATCTTTATATATTAGTGAACGTGCCCGCGGTCTACAGTTTTTATGAGCATTTTTAAATGCAGGAATGTGTGGTATCCTTGACTTCACCGGATCTTTCTGATGGCCTGAATCTTAACCCTGGGAACTGAGACCACAGCTCACAGTTCTGCTCCTTAATGTTTGTGTTGTGTAGCAGGGAACCTTTTCTGCTTGAAAAAGCACCTGAAATGAGCTGGGCAATATGTAAGAAAAGATACCAAAGTTTTAACTATGCAAAACAGAGCTTTAAAAACAAATGCTGTTTAGATGCTTTGAGACAATCAAAGGAAAACGTATGCTATTTGCAGCTGTGTTTTGGTCCACCGTTTGCAATAATATAATTTAATCTCGTTTTAAGCCTTCTGCAAACTATACAGATGACAAAATGCATCAGATCTTTCGGAGATTTTGTGTACCATTTAGGGTGCTTTCTAAAGATTTTTCCTTGAGTCCAAATTCCCATCCATAGCCCTCTCTTACATGAGGATTTCTCAACACGTTCTTTAGTACAGGACTCCAGATAACATAGAGGGAACGGTATTTAGAGTTTATTGTGCGGAGCAAGTGAACTATATGTCTATGTATTTGTATATGTTCATGTATATATTTATGTGAATGCATGTATATACACAAACTTGACGCATATGTACATACATAGGTATTCATAATTTTGTGATAAAGTAATTTTATAATTATACAGTCATTTAACTCTACACCCGGAATAGTTCATGTTTATATTCAGTTGATATTTATCTTGGTGTAATTAATATAAGTGTCACTTAACTTCGTTCACTTTTTTTAGGTCACTCTTAAATGTTTTCTGTGGGCACACGTGTCAAACGTATTTTTACTTAGATTCTCATCTGATTTTTTCCCTCACTCAGCATAAAACTGCAGAGGACAAGGATCTGAATTTTTCCTTTGTAGTCTTCTATGAATGGGACCAGAGTGCTCTCTCATCTTAAATGAGGAAAGATCTCAAGATGAACTTGAATATTTTGCCATCTCACAGTGGTGACCTTTACATATTGGTTAATTAGATGGACAGAAATGAGAAACGTGGTTTGTAAGTCTTCTTTACTTAGCAAATTAATTCAACAAATCTGCATTCTAGGGCAAAACGACAGTTAGGGCTGTGACATGGCAGCCACAATCAAGAGTACTGATAGAGTAGGAGAATGAAAACGGATGGGCAAAAGTGAGATCAGAATTCAGAAAAGATAAAGATAAGATGAATAAGGGTCTCCCTTAGGCAGATATCTTTGCCTTGGAGTTGCCTGTTTCAAGAGTGAAAAGAGGTGTAGAAATTTTCCTACATCAGGTTAAATCCTAGATGTGCATCAGGTAAACCTGGCCAGTTAAAAATACTTGCTTTGCACTGTAAACTCATGCTTCACATATCTTTATATTACAATATAATCCTGGAGCATTTTTTCTCAACGCCACTTTTCTCTGAAGGAGTACTGAACTGCGGGATTCTGTAATGAACCTCTATGGACTTGTATCTTGCTTTTCTGAATCTAGAAATGAAATTGGATTCAGGAGCATCACCACTTTGATTTCTTCTGCGTGATTTTGATAATATTTTCTCAAGTTTTAAGCCACCAGTGGTAGAGAAATACATCTTATTAAAAACAAACAACCACAAAAAACAACAGCGCGAGCACGACCTGTAAAGAGAACATTCCTTTTGATAACCCTCTTCCTCCTCCTACCACAGTCCTCTCTTCAGACATGAGCACTGGTATCACTTTGTGTATCCATGTAGGATTGATGTGGATCCCTCCACACTTCCTAATGTTTCAGGGTTGAGAAAATGCCAAATCCTTTACCATTTGTACAGGAAAATGCCAGCTAACTCAGCTGATGACGTACTAGGGAGCACGGCTACGTGTCAGACATGGTGCTGGCAGAATCACAAGGAGTGGAATGAAGGCTTTCTCACTCCACAGAGCACAGTGCCTAGTCTTTGCAACTTGCAAAAGTTGTTCTTTTTCAAAATTTATAGTCAATTATTTGGATTTATTTTCATGTTTTCTGAGCAAGGATATGCTTTCTTTAACTGGATGTGGTTAAGAAAGAATCAACTTTGTTCCAATGAATTTTTATAGCGTTCTTTGGGATAGCTGAAGAGAGAGACTATCCAGAGACAACCTTATTTGTGCTGGTTCTGGGTAGCTGGATCCAGATGATCTTTGGGAAATCCTCTTCGCTCTCTTTTTTGGCTTGACATTTGTCAGTGGTATTCTTTTTATTTTATTTTATTATACTTCAGGTGAAGGCTTACAGAACAAATAGTTTCTCATGAAGCAGTAGTACACATGTTGTTTTATGACATTGGTTAACAACCCCACAACATATTAACCCTCTAACTTCTCAACC